CCCCAAAACCCCAAAACCCCAAAACCCCAAAACCCCAAAACCCCAAATTTCTTACATGTGTTAATAAAATTATATTTGAGCAAGCGATAAATGTTCGAGCAAATATTTGTAATTGTTATATGAATTCTTGCCATTCTCTATGCCACATCGATCCATAAGATTGAAGAAGGGCATGTTGGAGTTTACTTTAGAGGTGGAGCTTTGATGAAAGAGATTACTGAGCCAGGGTACCATCTCAAACTTCCACTCATCACTGATTATCATGAAGTTCAGATCAGTGTTCAAACAGATAAAGTTACTGAAATCCCTTGTGGAACTTCTGGAGGTGTTTTAGTTCAATTTGAATCCATTGAAGTAGTGAACAGACTCAAGAAAGAGCTGGTTTATGAAACTATCAAAAATTATACAGTAGAATATGACAAAACCTGGATCTTTGACAAGATTCATCATGAGATCAACCAGTTTTGCTCAAAGAATACTCTGCAAGATGTCTACATTGACAAGTTTGATGCACTTGATGAATCTCTGCAAGAAGCTTTGTCTCAAAGTCTAGAGAGTTGGGCTCCAGGAATAGAAATCATCTCTATCAGAGTTACCAAGCCCATCATTCCAAAACATCTGTTGAAAAACTATGAAGCCAGAGAAAGTGAGATGACAAAGCTCGCTTTTGAAATTGAAGCCCAAAAAGTCAAGGAGAAGCAAGCAGAGACCAAGAAAAAAGAAGCTATGATCAAAGCTCAGACTGAGGCTGAAGTCAGCAAGATTGAGATGGAGAAGAAGATCACTGAAAAGGAAGCCAACAAGAAGATAGCTCTGATCGAAAATGAAATAGAACTAGAAAACAAGAAGACTGAAACAGATGCAAGATATTACAAAGAGATTAAAGAGATTGAGGCTAACTCTAAAAGACTGACTCCTGAATTCCTCCAGTATGCTCTTATCCAAGCTATCAATAACAACACCAAGATGTACTTCGGAGACAGTATTCCTAAATATATCGGTGAAAACATTGACGTAATGAGGAAGCAGCTTGAGAAGGGAGAGAAACAGAGTTCACCTCCTTAAATGACCTAAAGGTATCTATCGTATCAACCAAATTACAAAGATTCGGGGTTTTGGGGTTTTGGGGTTTTGGGGTTTTGGGG